AAAAATTATCCAAAACAGACTAAAACTTTTCAAACCTCCAGCTACCGAATATATGGACCACAGTTCCTATTGCAAGCTTTTTATCGAAAATATCGGTCAATCTGTGACATGTATTATAGAAACTCAGAGAGCATCCTTATATGGAAATAGTATTCCCGTGTGCCACAGAAAAGAGGTTGAATTGGATCAATAATTCCCCTAATCCCTACATACCTAATGGGAAAATTTTCGAACTTCCGGCTGACCTTATACCACGAATATCGGTCAATATATGAGTTATCTTAATGAAACTGAAAGGGCGAACTTTTCTTATAACCGTGTATCTTTGTGCATAAAATTACATTAAAATAGGGTAAAAGCTTGCCTTTGCCCCCATATAACTAATATAAGGATTTTTAAACATCCGGATGACTTTATTCCGCATATATTGATGATAGTATGTGAGGTACCTTAATAAAAATCAGAGATCATATGTTTATTTCTATTTGTAATATGTGGTAATGGCAAAAATACAAGCGTTTCAAAACTACCTCTATCTTTTTCTACCTAATATGAGATTTTCAAACTTCCGGTAGGCATACCATGGGGTAGCAGCTCCCAGCCAAGTACTTTGATTGTATTCTGAACCGATTTTTCTTTGTGTGCAGATACATTGTCGTGTAAAAAAATTACTTTGCCGTATTTCTGACCCATTCTGGTCGTCTTTCGATCAATTGATCATTTGGTGTCTGTAGCAATTAGTATTAACAGTTTCCCAGGTTTTAGAAGCTCATGATATACCACACCCTTCCGATTCTACCACACACTGAGCATTGCCTTCTTACCAAATCGATCGGTTTTTGTAGTTGATGTTTGGGATTCTTAAATGAAAATCCATTTTTCATCGCCAGTGACAATTTTAGGCAAAACTGATTTTCTTTCGCGTCCTTGAAGCAAAATTTCATCATTTTTTCGGTTTGCCATTTGCCTTTTATTCAATTCATGTGGCACCCATTTTCTACACTTTTGGATTATCCCATAGCTTTCAAACGGACTGAAATTGTTTGTTGTGCAACATTTAACATGGCCGCCATTTGCTTTTGCCTCGAAGTATCATATTTATCCAATAAGCAATAAGCGACAAGCATTCGATGCGACTCTGCAGCACTTTTCTTCAAATGGAAAAAAAAAATTAATGCTTTCCGAAAATCATCAGTTTTCAGTACAAAATTTGACATTTTGAACACAATGAAAAAATATGATGTTGTTTATTCAATGACTGTAAGGTTATTGAATATGTTTGACAGATGTCATGCCAACCAAACAGAAAAAAATTGAGGCTCGTTCACAACATATATTTCCACGTTTAGAGCAAGGTGCAGACCAATTCCATTCTAATTCAGCTCTTAACCACATAACTTTTGAGAAAACTTGTCCAATTAATTTCATTAAAATATTACAGTTTCACCAACTTGAACGGTTTAAAGCCAGGTAGAAAGCCCGAAATCATTATATGGAGTAGATTGGGGGCAGAGAAAAGGACGGGCTGATAACATTAATTTGGACATTGTTCAGGTATACTTGAGAACAAATTTTCAAGCAATTTCATAAATATATAACTTACACACTGAACGACATATTTGCCATAAGACTTGTTAGAAAAACGGAAATCATTTTATGTAGTGTATGGAAGTTGAGTGTACAAGTATTATTGACCCGACTTTATCTACATTTGCCAATACCACATACTACAAATATTAACATGCTAAGTACTAATAAAATGTTCCCTGGGATTCATTAAGGTACCTCATATACCATCACCAATCTGTACGGAGTTAAGTCAGCCGAATGTTCGAAAATTCTGATATTAGTTATAGAGGGGCTAGGTCAAATTTTCATCCAATTTTATTTTTATATATAATTTATAATATTATATATAGGCACTGGGGTCCACATATATGGACAATCTGTGGTCATAATTGGCACACTCCAAACTGTTCGTGCAAAGTCTTGTCGCGTCATTTTAATGTAATGCACCGAGTGTTGTGGAAATCGATTGAACAGGTCCCGAGTTATGTTATTCCACCTAAAAGTGAACAGAATTTAGTTATTGATTTATCACACTTTAAGTAGTTTTAACAAAACGTGGGCGGGGTTATCATCCCAATTTTCACCTCTTTTCACATTATCGTAAAAAGGGTTGAAAAACTTTGTCCTGTGCAAATTTTAATTATATATCTTTTTTTTGTTGGAAGATATACATATGCATTAAACTTATTAAGGGGCGTGGCCAGGGTGCCCCTCCTTAAGTTATAGCACTTTAAACTTTTTCAATTAATGGAATTTTGTGGGAGTGGCAGTATTCCGATTATGCCAATCTACGACCTCGTCCTTACTTTTTTGCCAAGGAACATGTTTTTCCACGTTTTATCAAGATAGGTTAATTTTTATTCAAGTTACGGTTAGTTGAATCGACATCAACAGCACTTCAATTCGAAAAATAATTTTTTCGTGTGTTTTGACGATATCCCATTACTTTCTTTATTATTGGTGAGTTTTTTTTTCCTCACTTTCAATTTGTAAACAAAATTGGGAACATAATTTGTATGTTTGGTAGGTGATATTTATTGCTAATATTTTTTTAGGAAGTGTAGTATCGTCATGTGCACACATACACACATCTTTTTTATGATGCCTTACCGTTAATCGCTTACAGGGAGAGTACAGAGACAAAGAAATAGAGAATATATGCATTAAGTAAAACACGAAATGTAATTGTTCATTATAGGAAGAATTAAGACAAAACCAGAAACCGAACAAATTATTTTGCACGAGAATGAATTAAAAATTTTAATTCTTTTTTAAATTCATTTTTGTAAATTGTTGTCTACAACTTTCTTTAGGTACTATTAACATTGTTAATAAATTATATTTTCAATTGGTCGAATTTTGACCACTGGCGATCCTAGTATTTATTTTTCGAACAAATCATGAATGGATCAAATCAAATTTTGTATCTTATTAACTTATATTGAAGGGCATGTACTCGCGTCAACGAAAATTATATTAAAGTCACCCTTATATGAGAAATATGTGATATACATAAACTTAACCAAGGTCAAGACCAATTCCATTCTAATTCAGCGCTAAACCAAATAATTTTTTAGAAAGCTTGTCCAAATAAATGTATTAAAACATCGCATATTTTGACCAACCTAAACGTTTTAAAGACAGGTGGGAAGTCGGAAATCATATAGGGAATATAGGGGGCAGTAAGGAGCTGGGCTGATTTAACTAACTTTTGACACTACTCAGGTATATTCAAGAACATACGGACAGACAATCACTCGGAATTCAACCTTCTTGTCATCCTGCTCATTTATTTATATTACTTTATTTCGATTATCTCAATTAGTTTTAGGTGATCGACGAAACTGTGAATGGGTTAAATTCAATTTTGGTATATATTTATATATTTATGCTTCATGTTTAAAATATTTATATTAAAATCAACTAATTAACTCAAATGAGATATATGTGAAGTCTAAAAAGGGGCTGGGTCATTCCATGTCAAATCGACAAATAGTTGGACGCGACCCCCACCGAATCGATCGAATTTTGGTGGAAAGTTTTGTCTTATCATAAAACGAATAACCAAAGGAAAAAATTTTCCTAAGAGCTATACGAAATTGAAAATTTCATTGTTTTCCCGATTTATGAGTTTATTTATTTAATATTTCAGAAACTACTGTATATTAAACAGAGAACGCTGGTGAGTTTTCAGAGGACACTTAGAGGTATGGGAAATAAATTGTTTTAAAAAAAAATTTCAAATGTAAAGAGTAACCATCGCGGGAAAACTGTGACCTCACAAGCAGCTTCATGGGTTACTAGGATCAACTATGTACGCAATATCACCGACTTCGATGGTCTTTACATCTGTAAACTTGCTTCGCTTGGTTATTGTGGCCAGGTACTCCAATATCCAACGTCTCCAGAATGTGTTTTCTAGTTGCCAGTTACGACGCATTAAAATGTTCTCAGCAACTGGTTCCGCGATTGGATTAACTCCACTGGAGCTACCTAACAAGAAGTGGTTAGGAGTGAGTGCCTCTTCCTCTTCATGGTCGATGGGGATATAAGTTAAGGGCCGAGAGTTAACCGTCATTTTCGCTTCCAATAAAACTGCACGAAGGAGTTCATTGCTGGGACGGCTAGTTGTCAAGACTTGTTTAAGCACTTGCTTTACTAACCGAACTAACTGCTCCCACGTTCCACCCATATGAGGCGAAGCGGGTGGTATAAAACGCCAGTTGGTAGTAGTAAAAGTTCTTGTCTTGTGATTTTTATCTAATAGTTCAAATGCTGACTTCAACTCTTTCTCAGCACCTATAAAGTTTGTACCGTTATCACTCCATATTACTAACGGACTGCCTCCGCGAGCGATAAAATTACGTACAGCTAGAATGCAGGAGTCTTTTGAAAGCGAGTATGCGATTTCAAGATGCACCTCTCTGGTTGTTAAAAAGGTAAATAATACTCCGTATCTTTTCTCGGTACTTCTCTTAACCGTGACCAGGAGTGGATCAAAGTAGTCAACGCCTACGTAGGAAAACGGTCGACTGCATGCTGAAGTATGGGACAGTGGCAGAGAGGCCATAATAGATGGTCGAGGTTTGAATATTCTGCTTTTAAAATGCTGACAAATGCGTCGAATCTCATTGGCCACTTTGCGTAGTTTTATAATCCAATAGTATTGCCTTATGTCGTAGACAACTTTTTCCAAATTGCCATGATGATACTTTACATGGAAGGGGTTTATTATTAAGCACGTAACAAGGTGATTTGAGGGCAATAATACTTGATCTAGTCGCCATGTTATCTTAACTCGACAATTTATTCTCAAAACACCGTAGTCATCTAGATAAGGTGATAGCTTGAAAATATTGCTGGATTTGCCAACTGGATTTCCGGATACTATACATGCTATTGAGCCTCCGAAGTTGTCGTGTTAGGCCTTTTTCCACAGATAACGTTCCGCTTAACGAAAAAAAAAACTTAGTTGGGCCATCACCAGCATGTTGTTTATCTATTATATGTTTGGCGAGTCGAGCGCGTAGAAGTGCTGCTTTTAGTTCTAAACGTGGTATAGATATTAGCTTCAGGTGGGCTACCCGTGTTTTGCTTGCGATCATTGTAAAGTTAACCACATCATACACATAAGCTTTCTATTTTCGGAATTAGTTTGAGCCATCTTAGCCACTTCGTAACTTGGTCATCTAGGATTGGAACATCCCAGTCGCATCCAGCTCTCCATACTGAACTAATGAGTTCAAGAGGATCGTCATAACCAAACTCAAAACCTCGCGCTTAGTAGGCCGCCGTAACGGAGAAATATGTCAGATCTCTATACTTAGCGGACACAAGAAATGCGAAATGGTCAGTAGACATAATCCACTACATGCCTAATACCTTCTCAGTAGGCAGCTCACGTTCAAGATCAAGAGATAGCTCATCAAGCGGATCCTCATTTAGGGCGACTGATACCCTATATGGCAAATACCAATACTTTTTTACGGCAGAATCAAGAGGTCTCAAACATCTAATGTACCCCTTTTGCACATAATGCAGGATTTCAGCCAGGTCATGGTCTCGTTGCATCTTTTTCCTTAGACATTTCGCCCGAAATAAAGCCATTGACAGACTATCGGGGATCTCAATGTCCGGATGCTTCCACCATAGACTAGTCTCGAAACGATTTCCAATACGGACGGTGTACCTTCGTAGTTGCTCCAAAGCGGCCTCATCCTCCTTAGACATTAAGGCAACAGGTTTGGTTGACACACCTAAGTTGTAATTTCAAGCAATTCGTAGTTTGTCAGCATCGAGCGATTGCGTAGGCAACCGAAGTTTCTTGACAGAGCGAACACCCTTTAGAACAATTTGCCTATGCCCGTTTACAGCCGATATGGTTAGGTCGGCTACAACAGACTCGTTTTCATACGGATGGGTATCACCAGTGCAACGTAGGCAGAGTGGTTCCGGTGTTCCTCTTACATTAAGCGATTTTAAGAGTTCTTCTTATGTTGAAACACTACCATGACTAGAGTGTAAAACTACTGGTAGTATTCAAAACAGTGTGCTTGTCCCGGTTGCTATATGCGTATTAATGTTGGCGGAATGCTCTCTGGATACCATATTGACATTGTTTGACCGAACTCTACAAGGTTTAACCAAATTACATCTATACATCGAATGTCTTTTCAGATATTGACGACATAGCTTTAGCTTACGAACAACTTGCCACCTTTCACTTCATGGCATTACCTTAAAAGAGGTAAAATTAGAAACTTCACTACAACTTTCATCGCAAACGATACATCTTACCGGACTAAAAAGATGATTAATTGCCCCTCATTTGCGCTCTCGTATTGATTCCATTGGAACGATAACGCAGTTGGCTCCTTGAGCCAACTAAAAAAGCCAATCACTGAAGTTTTGTAAATTACGTACTGTCAAGCTCCGCTTATGCATTCCCCAATATGCTAGTAGAAGCCCAGGTAATTTGAAACCAAGTGCTGTTCAAATTCGGGATTGTTCAAATGACTAGTCAGACCTGATACTGACACCATTGCACAGATGTTTTGCACTTCTACCGCAAAGTCGAGTATAGATTCTAGATGGCTCTCCGCTGGGCTGGTTGTTGCAGAGCAGTCTCTGGATAGAGCATCGAGTTCCATCGCAACTGTTATTCAAGTGACTGTATTCGATCCAATAAGGGTTGAAGGACCGGTGTTCGTATATCAGTTTCACCTTGCTGATCAGTCAATATTCGAGTATATTGTTATGGAGTGAGGGCCCACTATTAGTAATACCATTTACAACAGAATCTGCTCTAGTAAATGGTGCTGCAAATATTTTAAATCCTAGTCATTGAGTATTGCCTTTCGCGAGGTCGTCATCGAAGCCTATTGCATCTATGCGATCCAAAAACCTGTGCTGTTCCCTTAATAAAGCCTCGCGACGACAAAGCCATAGTGAACCAACGGAATGAACAGGACTTATGAGTTAGCTTTCGTGAAGATGCCCTTATTGGGGTGATACCGTATATACCCTATTGGCTGTGGGAGCTGCATTTGTTACGCCTGCGTTCGATCTTTCAGTGTGTACCACAGAAATTCGCTATTAGCAGCCCGATCAATAACACTATTATCTTCTGGATTGTCCACTATTGGAAAGCTGGTTGAAGTAGTGAGATTGCTGGCTGCAGCGAAATTATACCCAGAACGATATTAGCAGGTGTAGAAGCTGAATACAAATTATTCGCGCGACATTATAATTTGCCTTTATATGTAGTGAGCGATAAGAGTAGAGTAAATTTTTTAAGATGTTAAAAAAAAGGCGGGAATTTTTTGCAATTAACTGAATTATATTTAAAGGCGGTTAAAGCGATATTATTAATTAAAAAATTTACTCTGAACTCTATCCTTTGAAAGTTGTCATATGAATGCATGATCGGCTCCCGTTTTCCCATTGCCTGCTGTGCTAATTTTACTAATTGCTCCCGTTACGCTTATTGGACCAATCAGAACGCGCCTCGTCAGTTCATACATAAGCAGGTAGGACTTACGAGGATTACATCAATCATGCTGCCATATCGTTCGTAACACAAGTATTTATCGATATATGGTATACGGTATGAACTCAACCGGAAGTTGGAAAACCTTTTTGTTAGGTATATGAAGGCTAAAGTATTAATCACCGAATTTGGTCGAGCCTTTCTTGAGATATGAGATTTCGTTTAAAAGTGAAATTTAATGCTTCTGACGTATTTATTTAGTAAGTTATCGTACCTCCAGTAGTTTTCGACATAACAGTTAAATGGGAAGTTGGCGGGGTTATCATCCACTTTTACCTTTTCTCACAGTGTTCAAGGAAGTGCCAAAAAGATTTGTCCGGAGCGAATTGGGTTAGAAAAGCTTTAGTTGTTTGTAGGATATGTACAATAAACTTATTACGGGGCAGGAGCACACCCATTTTTAAAAAAATTGTAAACCACATATATTATTTTCTACTGCGATTAGCTATACCGATGCTGCTCATATACAATACAACCTTTTTATGGTACCAAGAGACATGTGTACCAAGTTTCATCGAGATCTCAATTTTTACACAAGTTAACGCTTGCACGGACAGACGGACGGACAGACAGTCACCCGGATTTCAACTTGCCTTGTCATACTGATTATTTATATTTACCTTATATCTATTTAAGTACATTAATTTTATTTGTTAAAAACTACCGTTAGGTTTGCAGATGAATAGCATCGGACCATTGCATTTTCTCTTCTTTTTATTCCTAAGAGTAGTTTGAATTCAAACACCTTCTGTCTACAACGCGTAAGTTCTCTAAAAAGGTGTGCCGTATAGTTGTGTTGCTAATGTCGTGTAAGAAATCCTCAACACTCCTAATTTACATAAAAGATAATGAAACGCTAAAAAGATTGTCCATCGGTAATTACCATCTCCTCTCCAATTCACTTCCTACATTTTTAAGCATATTCGTTTAAATATGTTTGTGTTGTAGAAAATTATCCAAACCATTTAAGGTCAAAAATCTTTAGCTACTGACAGTGATAGTAGATAGAGATAGTCCTTAACGAAAGGAAACCACTACATAAAATAATTTTAATGCTTTTAAATACACGAATTTTTGTTACGGTATTTTAAATGATAAAAATAAACAACATTAACTTGTGTTGCACCGAAGATATAATACCCTTCACAAATACAAAAGATTCCATACAATTGATTTTAATTGGTTATTTTGTATGGCAGCTATATATATACCTACTACAAGTATAGTGGTGCGATATCGCCGGTTCCGACAAATAACTCTGCTTTTACACACAGATTCTTTTGTAGCCCAAACCGGTTTATTGAGGGCGAGGGGACGACGAGGAAAGACCAAGGGACCGTGCCACTCGTGTTCGGGTGGCACGCTTTGTGTTCTTATTCGTAACAGCTCGCTGCTACCCTTTTCAGCATTCCTTTTCACTTTCAAATTCTTTACACGGTTGCAAGAGCGCTCGTTTTCAAATGAATTCGTTCGCAAATTTGAATTCTGTTATTTATTTTATGCATGTAATATGCAAATATTATATATATGCATAGAACAACAGAAATATTTTGAAAAATTGTAAATAAGGAGCAAATTAAGATATAGATTATGGAGTAAGGAAATTATGAATTTTTAATAATTAAAGATTAGGAAATTCCTGTTATAAATTTGGCTTTGAAAATATTAGTAGCGGATATTCAATACATTCTGGTGGATTAGGAAATTCCCCTCTTAAGTATTTCTTTGAAACTATTAAGCGGGTAGGTATTATGCATTTTCACATTCCACATTCATGGTAATTCATTGCAAGCAAAATGTGTGACCACCATCCCAACATACAAATGAAATATGCAACACGCTCTAAGTGTTACGCAGTCGAACCGCACAAATATTTACGAAAATTTTGTGAAAAGGAATGCAGAAAAACTAGACTCGAGTTGCTGGACTCTTTTTGACCGTGTGAATGCACAGAGCGACACCAAAAGAGAATTTGCCGAAAACGAGGGTCAAAAGAATCTGTGTATAGAAGCCGTCTAAGCAGCTTCATAGATTGAAACGGACGTGTGCAAAATTTCAGATCGATATCTCAAAAACTGAGAGACTATTCCATGTATATAGACAGAGGGGCCGACAGGCGGTCATGGCTAAATCGTCATGGGTAAGCTGATCATTTACCTACAAGTATATATGTACGTATTGGGCGTAACAAGCTTCGTGGAAAATTAATATATCCTGTTTAGGGTATAATAAAAGATTTTTTATGTATTATTTAAATGAAAAACTTTGATTGCTCATCGGCATCTTTAAAAATTAAATAAAAAATTTTGCCTTGCAGGGATATTTTTTCTTTGTAAATAGGCTCATTTTAACCATAGGTTAGCTTGATTTGTCTCACCCTAACACATACATACTTGTATATGTACATATTTAGATAAGTATGCAAGATGTTCGGTTTGCCACTGACAATACTAATCGATTGCAATGCATTCGATTTCTGGCAAATTCTGTAAATATTTGTGTGATTTAATCGAAATTAGCTACGCAAAATGTCAGTGAGACAGGCAGTCGAAAGATTGATCATCGGTTGATGGCAAAACAATTATTTGATGGCAACAGAAGTGGCTGCAAAATTGATAGGGCATTAGCCTGTGGTAAATGTCCTGCACATATGTGAGTACGACTACACCAAACACACACACAGCAGCAGCCACGTGTGTTCAACCATGTTGTTATCGCCAGCGCGACACACTCGTCCGTCCTCCTCCACCCACACTGTGTATTCAACAAACTAAAAGTTCAAATTTATAAAAAAAAAAATCTCCAGGATAATCGCTGTCCAACAACTTTTGCAAGTTTTGCAAGTAGCGGAAGCATACATCTGTATGCCACGAATTGTAGCTACCAGTGTGGTTTAATGGATTTTTCATTTCTTCATTTGCGTCAATTCAAGTAACGGTTAATGCCCAATGTTCGCAAAGTCCTACCGTTAGCGCATAAAGACGCAAATGACCGTTAAATATATACATATATTCATATAGAAAGTGTGTGCGAGTGGTTGAAACAAGCAATCAACAGTCGCAACATTTGACACTGACACTTATTGCTCTCATTGTTTTTATCGTTTGGTCTTTTTGATCGGTGTAGGGAAGTTATTGCGGAGCATTGCGGTCAAAAGGAGACGGCTGCTTGTGCCAATATTTGCATTTATGATAGATTTACGAGCTTGCAACTTTTGGTCATTTACGCTATTTTTATTTCCATGGCTGTGTATAAGGTTACAATATAAATGGCTTTTTAAGTGGCAAAAAGAAAAGCCATTCCAGAAGCAAATGCTTGATAAGATATTTAGAATTACATACTTATGTTTGGTAAAACTCTAAAGAAGTTGTTATTGTATTTTTGCATCACGCCCAGAAACTCACTTTTTCCGTAAAAACATAAAGTAATGCGACTCCGGGGCCAATTTAGCAAAAAGGGTCACTTTGGGAGGAATACGTGTGGTTTTAAGAGTGTAAAATATGGGGCGGTGGCCTTATTCTCTAATAAATTTTATGTATGTATGTATATAACTCATAAGATATTCAAGCTTATTATGTTCGGAACTACTAAAAATACGACAACTGTCTAAAGAATACTCTAAGAAAATCCATATTTAACTCTTAAAAGAAATATTCTACTTACATAAATGGATCAATTTTAAAACTGAACAGCAGACGTTGCACCACCCACTTTTAGGGGAAATTTCATGTCCCACAGGCTACTAAATAGATTCGAACTTAACTTCGTTCGGATGTTGTCAATATATCATCTTAACACAGTATAAAAATGGAAAAGATCTGGCTACAACGACATCCACTTCTCATAAGCCATTTTGAATCATGTTAGCTTATTCTAGCTTATAAAATATCGCAAAAATATTTTCCTTCCTTCTCCTTCTATACCATCTGTGAAGATCTCCATCTTTGGATTGCATTTATATTATATCATATGATCAAATTTGACCCGGACAGGTTCAAAAAAAACGGCATTTTCATGTGTTTCAATACATAAATTTATTATCGCCCTCAAAATATGCTTTAAGTCAATGCATACACTTGCTAGAAGCTTCGGCTGGCCTTCAGTGAATATAGCGAATTTTGGTTTTTCGGTTTCGGCTCATTTCTGAATAGCCATCATTAGATTGTTGTACAGTTCGACGTCATATTCATAAATCTTAGTCTAGCAGTGACACGTTTCACATTCAAAACATTAACCAAAATCGGTGGAGTCGATCCTCACGAGACTTTGATATCCTCTGATATTTTTCTGATGTCAACACGACAGCTGGAAATTTATTAGAGCTACGCTTCTTTTAAAAGACTTTAAGCCGAAGAAGCCCTTTCTTACAGTGGCAGTTTGGTACAGAGGAAGTTTGTAAAAATACGGGCCGACGGAGGTATACTAATTATTTTGATAAACATAATGATTTACATTTTGTATGTACCTCATCAATGTTATTCCCCAAAAACTACGCTATGTTACTACATTATAAGACCTATCAAAAATTACTGTTAAGTCTAACGTATAAATATTTTGAAGAAAGTTTTTTTTTGAAACTTGAGTATTGACAACTCTAGTACTTTGAAAACGTGACTGTACCGCTTGAGAAATTGAGAAAGAAAATATATATAAAATACGTGTTGCAACTATAAGGCCGTTATTATTATTCTTCCGTTTAGCAGATTTTTATGATTTTTTTAACTTTAAAAGCGAAAAGCGTTAAGTTAAGAAACCATATTTTTAGCAAATTAAAGTCCAGTTTTTTTCACTGTTGGAAGTTAAGAAGGGAAAAAAGTCTTGGAGAATCGCTGTCATCATGGCTATTCGTTTAGATTGAACAAAACTGCTTTATTCGTAGAGAAAATTTCTCATAACTCAAAAACGTTCATTCCGCCGAAATTTCGCTTCGAAAATAAAAACGGATCATGTGAATGATTAATTTTGTTTGACTAATACAAAAGGCATTAAAACAAAGTCCAAACTCACTACCCAGTATCCAAACTTGTCTTCGGCCAAGAGACCCATCCTACCGGTGCCGAACTGCCTGTGCCAAAGCCTTTATTTGTATATCTGAAAGAAAAATTTCTCATACTCAGCGAGGCAAAAATTTCAGAAAAATATTTGTAGGTCCACAAATACGGGAACTGATAAAAGATAAGAGCCTTGAAGAAAAACTCGCCTGGAAATATTTGGTGAACGTTGTCGAAAAATTACAAAGACTTAATAAATGGACTTATAATGTCATATAAAGCTTTGGGAAGTAATATGCCCTTAAAAATACATATGCTGGACTCACATCTGCAATTCTTTCCGGCATAATGTGAGTGACGAACAAATCGGTAGTTTCCATCCGGACATTGCCTTAATGGAGAAGCGCTATCAAAGGAAATGGAGCGCAGGAATGCTAGCAGGTGATTGTTAAAGACTTAAGAAAGATCTTCCAGAAATTTTCACGAAATTCATAAGTATTTTTTCTGTATGAAGCAATAATCTCTAATTGTAGCTGATGCTTGTACTATTTAGGAAAATTAATGTTAATGCCACAAAAAAACCTGGCGTGTATTTTTCATTTACATACTATTATTGTTTAGTGGCCCTAGTGCATTAAAAATTTTAGATGAGTTTTCATGGGACAAATAAGGTTAGGTTGAGTTAAAAGGTCGATCCCAATAGGGATTTCACTTGGATAGCTTAGAACGCCGGTCCGTTGTGGTACCTAAGAACTCGTTTATACTGGATCATAAAACCCTTACAAATCGACAAAACGCTTTAAGTCTATCACAAATTTGTTGAGACGGCTAACGTCAGTTTAGCCTCAGTAGTGCAAAGGCTTGGCAATGGAGAAAAAGTGCTGAGATGTTTCCACTTCATCCTCCTCCATACAACTTTGACAACTAACGTCCATCAAGATTTTTAACCTTACCTCATGGATGTCTATTGGGCAGTGTCCTACGAGAACTCCTATGATTGCGACAAAATGAATTTTGATCAAGGCAAATAGTCGAGTAGATCTCTTGCGTTTTACTTTAGCCCAGAAGGATCTCATAGTCGCGCGGGATCAGCATCTTTGACCAGCGTATGCTAAGCGCCCGATGGAGATCCAACTCGGTCCCAATCCGATGCGTGCGAGGCAAGGGTGCCCCTTCTAGTCTAATGATAAAGTAGCTTGTTGCTATTTATAGTGAGGACAGACACCTAGTGCCACTTCGTAGCAGTACGTCTACCGCCACCTTGATAGCAGCCACTCCTGCCTGAAAAACACTACAATGGTCTGGGAGTCTAAAGCTAAAAATTACCGAGAACTCCTTGCAGAAAAATTCTCCTCCAACCTTCCCTCATAGCTTTGACCCATCCGTGAAAGAACTCACTGCGCCTCTTCTCCAGCGACTTCTCCCAATCCCCATATCCCTCGTCGGTATGTGAGCAGAGAAGAAGCCGCCCCGAGTAAGAGAATTTCAAAGCATTCCTGTTCGGAACTCTTCAAATACCCAGCTTCCCTGAGCCTTAAATTACACTTCGCAGCCATTCACCTACCAACATAGTACACGAGTTCTATGTTTCAAATGGCATTAAGTGCTATTGTTGGTGCAGTCCATAGTGCACCGCAAATGCCGAAAAGAGCCGCTCTTTGGACACGCTCATTCTTTTTAGTAAGTGTAGCATTTTCGAGCACCTTTCACCAGATAAATACAACATATAACATTATTGGCTTAACTACGGTTTCGTAAAGCCAAAACATCTTTGGTGAGAGTCCACACCTTTTCCCTATAGCTCCTATGCAGCAACATAAGGCAACCGATGCCTTTCTAACAATCTCCTCAATATTTGGCTTCCAAGAAAGCTTTCCTACGAGGATAAGCCCTAGGTATTTCACTTCTTCGAATTCTTTAAGTAGGCCGTTAACCACTAAGAACGGAGATCCCCAATTACTACCCCACTCCGCTACGACCGTTCGCAAAGAGGACTGTATATACTATGCCTGAGATTCGATTCTACCTCAAACTTGTGCATAAGGGCTCCCACCAGCCATGACACTACATCGTGCAAAGCAGTGTGGATTGGCCTGCCTTTGACATAGGCATGCTAGGCCCTTCTACTGCCAATATGCAGATCCACGAATCTCTCCAAAATTTTCAACAGAAACGAGAATATGCTAAGGCTTTCGGTATAAACGCGACATTAACCGATCTCTAGGCCTAAGGCACATGGCTCAATCTTCCACAGTTCACGTAGAAGAGGCCAGCCAGCTGCAAGACACCGCTGCAGTTGTGCCGGTAAGATGCCATCACTTGAAGTGTTTGAATGAATTCAACGCCCAGATAAGGTGGCGTTCATCCAAAAGGTCAAAGAAAGCTGTACAGTCCTCTTGAAGCTCTCCCAGAGGCGCTTCTTCAGCGGTACGGTTTAACGGAAAGTTAGAATCCAGGAGTAGTTTTGAGGACTCCTTGCTGTTCGCGTTCCTACCACTTACCGCATTTTTCAGATACCCCAGTGGAGTAGTACTTTTCGCTAGAATTCGCCTAAAACGTGAGGACTCACGACAGCCCTGTACACTTCCGCAAAAGGTTCTCCATGAGGCTCTCTTGACTTTCTTTTATTCGGAGTTGTAAATAGACAGTTCTGGCTTATAGCGCCCAATAGTCGCTGGAGCCACTTCTACGGGCTTTGTTAAAGGATGTCCATCAAAGAGGTTTCCCTTTGACTTTCTGAGTTTTCAGAGAACAAGAGCATTCCTGCAATTTCTATAAATTCTGCACTCCGGGGGAATCGCGTCCAAGCTAAGACTAATGTATCTATGATCTAGGATCATAAAAGGAGGGGTCGTCGAGAACCCCCCATTCCAAAATCAAGTTTGTCATTTCTCTAGAAGCTAGCGTTACGTCAAAGACCTCCGTCCTACTAGCAGTCACAAAAGTAGGAAAGTTTACCCTATTACAAATATATAAGTTTTTGCTGCATACAAAATCAAAAAGTGACTCACCTATTGCATTTGTGTTCGAGCTTCCCCAGACAGTGTGCTTAGAGTTGGCATCCGTTCCGATTATTACGCCCGCTCGTCTTCGCTTGGTCCCTGCCAGAGCTCTTTTCAGCAGATCCGGAGGTGGTTCCACATCGTCGACATGCGGCGCATACACCAAGACAAGCCAGAGTTCTACGCTATTGCCTTCTAGCCTAGCAGTAACGACATCCTCGTAGCTGAAATTAGGTAAAAGAAAAATTTGAAGTTCGTTTCTAGGCAAGCACAACCAGCATTACTGGCCACCAAGAGTTTGAGGCACTCTGTCCTTAATCCAGAGATGCCGTTGCTGCTTAGCCAAGGCTGTTGGATGCAGCGGGTCTTTCGCTCTGACTTCCGCTGGGAATAGCCGTAGGACGACCTTTTCAAAGCCATAACTTATAGCCCCTTTGCGACACTGAAAAGAGCGAAGCACTCCTTGTTTAGAAGTATCAGCACTTCGCTCAATTTTTGCCGGGGCGAAAGGTTCGGCTGGAAGCCAGACACAAAAACGAGGTCACATCGGAAGATCCGATTTGTCCAGCGCCTCGAGCCTTGCTCTCTTTCATACTTTCTCCACATTGCCACACCTTTTTAATTTGTACATACCGAAGTGCCGCCATTTACCGAAGTGCGGCGAGTTTAGCGATTTCCCTCTTGCGACTTCTGCCGCTTGATCGAAGGTTGGAGGTCGTTTGACCCCGCTTCTCCATCGTTACCGCAGCTCAGCCCCCTTTTGGCCTACTCAAGTGTGCTAGCTTGCTGCTCAGATTCTTGCTCAGCCTGCTTGCCATGCGCTCCAAAATCTCCACTGCTAACCGACGGTCTGATTTCAGCTTTTTAGCTACCTTCCCATTCTTTCTCACAGGGCCCTTAGCCTTCACTGAGGACCCCGTGCCCCTACCATTACTGCCGATTCCGGCTTGCAATTCTGCCCTACCTTTAGTTCCGTCGACAGATTACTACCGACTCCCCTAGACTTACCGCCCCGATTCCGACCTAATTTCTCGTCCTTACTTAAATTTATGATATTATTCATGTATTTTGTCTCAGAGGCGCTATCTACCTCCGGGAAAGGTAGTCGCTTTTTATGGTCCCAAGGTTATCTCAGTTACGAGGCCAAGGCGAGGTTGACGCACGCTCTCAAGAGGCAATGCGTTCAAAGCCGAACACCGCAAAGAAGAAGTAATCTCAACTTACACCTACCACACCAACTTAATGATGACGGGATGTACCTGCCAGGGCTTTAACGGGACGGAGGCAGCCTTGGCATTAACCCATCAGCCATTTCAGCAGAGTGTCACCCCTGCACACTGGGATGACAGAATACCACGACTATCAGCCCAGGGTTCAAACCAATCCATCTTAAAGGTTAAACTAAGTCCGTGTAAATCCAAGTGTCATATATCCGTAAGAGTTTAAAAAGACCGTGCACCGCGTAGAGGTGATCCTGATCAACATCCCTTTCATGTGACAAAAAAATGCGTGTGGCACTCGGGGACTGTCGAGGTTCAAGTTACACTTTTTGAGCGTGGTGACCGATAAGAAAATATTTTTTTGTTTCTTTTATTGAATAAATGAGAAGTTAATATTGTTTAAAATATTTTTATTATCTTACAATACACATGTAGGTTATTCAGGAATTTTTATCATTGAATCTTTAGATTCGTGGTAACTGAAAAAAGAAACATAAGTTTGAGAAGTGATATTCCCTAAATATCTGGAAAATACCGCGTCAATGATGGCCCCATATTTTGTTGTGGATTTTTGTAGATCATTATTCATTTTCAAATTCAATTTTTCTGAAAGAAAAGTTGTCAACCGCTCTGATTTTTATCAGCGAAGTTGATATTGAAATCGCCGACCAAGATAAGTGGAAATTTATTACCATTGATGATCGATTGAAATACCAAATTTCAATTGTATTGTTCAATTCAAACAAAATACTATTCCAAAAGGTGTGGTAGCTATTTAACAAAATAATAATAATGTTACTAATATTATGACTCCGAATATTGAATATATAGATAGAAAAATATTGTAATTGTATATTATTTTTGAATCACCCTGCTCTTCAATTGATTTGTTCCGAGATATGCGAAAATACGTCTAAAAGTACGCAAACATTTTGCGGATACTTTGTGATCGTATTAAGTTTATTTCCGATACGAAATTTCTTAATTCAGTGTTATTACTGCAACAATACTGAAGTCAATTAGTAAGTGAAAGATGTCACACAAGAACAAAATTTGGAGAAATTTTGTCAAATTGAGGTGCATGCCTCGTTGTATTCATAGACAAGAAATATTTTTCCAGGGTGACACTAATAACTTTCCCAAATTTTTCTTTATGGATGTGTTCAGTGACGCCAACTGTGAACTTGTAAAAATAATCATTTGCATTCGACTGTGTAGAAAGGAAGGGAGAAGTTATTTTAATGAATACCTAGATAAATTAATTTTTTTTTTACAAGAGAATCTGAAAAATCAGAAATGTGAGAGTCTGGGTTGAACCAATTTTGTATATGCATGTATGTATATACAAATAAGTATGTAACATAATGAACACCCAAACCAAATGTTGTTAAATTCAGAACCTCCCAATTAAAAAAAAACATTACAATTCCAAAGCCAGGATATGGGCGGCTCAGTTTATCTATGCTAAAGTGAACCTGACAAGTCTAATTCCTAGCCTAAGTTTACTTCTTTGCTAATACTTTCAATAAAAATGCTTATGTTAATAACTTTATTATCTCTATTACGAATAGATTCACATTAAACGGTGGATTATGTAGGCGCTAGTTCCCAATATTTGAAGACTATTTTGCCAGTCATTTTTATAGTAAGCATTTTAAAGATATATATATGTATATATATCTGTAAGTTATTTGTATGATATTCGTTGATTAATTTTGGATTAAATTTTACCACTACAACAAAGCGCGAGTGCTCATCCGTGTATATATGGTATGTATGTATGAATATATGTATATGTATGGCAATAAATTGTCAGCAAAATTGTTATAATTTGTTTCTTGTAAATATCAGCAAATATATTTGTGTTGAAGGCGCATTCACATACAAATATCCTCGCTTTGCATGACAGTTCATACCAGAGATAAAGTTCATACTGAAACAAGGAAGCGCAGAAAACAAAGGGCATACCACAATGAACGCTTTGCTTTCAGTGTTTCTTTCTAATAAAAATTGAGACTGTTGCTTGGCAAAGCAAAAAAAACAAAGAGATGTGCCCAAAATTTTGCTTGGCTTCGCGTCGAAAAGATTTTATGGGAACGTACTCATCAATAAACATCGAACTTTTTTGTCAAAACAAATGTCTGACGCAAAGCGAAGCAAAAGTTCTATGTGAATAGGTCATTATTCTTAAAATGTACGTATGTATGTATTGATGCACTTAGTACGTATGTATGGATGTGGTATGTGTGTATGTACAAGTCTTCCAAGTCGACAGTGTTTGCTTTTGACAGTTAATTGCTTTTGTGATGTTAATTTATATATCAATTTCATAAGCATAGTGTGTGCTTTTCATAATTGCTTGACTCAAAAGTAAACTACACAACTAACAAATATTTTGTATTACGTGTACATTGTATGCATATACATATGTAATTGGCTTTATTGGCAATATCATTTCATAAAGCGAACATATATATGTATATTTAAACTATTATTAAATCGCTTCAATCAGCACTTTAAATAAATTATAGACCAGCGTAAATAATTTTTCAAAAGGAAAAAAATGATAGCAGGATGAACCGCATTAAAAAAAAAATATGACAAACAAGTAAGGAAAGGCTAAGTTCGGATGTAACCGAACATTTTATACTCTCGCAAAGTCAAATGGTATACTCGTTTGAGATTTCTTTGTGGATTGACTGATATTTTCGGTAGAAGGTCAACTATAGGCACTGGGGTCCACATATTTAGTACTTAGGGGTTTGAACAGTTTTGGTTCGATTTAGACAATTTTTGGCCGCAAGGTGGCATACTTTAATTGCATTATTCACGCAAAGTTTTACCCCGATATAATCATTGTTACCTGATTTGCATAGTGGAAAGTGAAAGAATCAGATGGAATTGAAAATGGTGTTACATGGGAAGTAAGCGTGGTTGTAGTCCGATTTCGCCCATTTTCGCACTATAACATAGTTATGCACCGAATTTGGTTGAAATCGGTTAAGCAGATCTCAAGATATGGGTTTTCACCTAAAAGTGGGCTGTGCCACGCCCACTGACTACTTTTGAACGCGGTTCCTATAAAGCCAATTTATACCATCTCAGAGATAAAATTTAATGTCTCTGGCGTGTTTAGTGCTTGATTTATCGCGCTTTTAGTAGTTTTTAACAGTACCGTTATATGGGGAGTGGGCGGAGTTGCCACCCGATTTCAACTATTTTCACACCGTCAATAGAAGTGCTAAAAACATTTGCTTCAAGTGAATTTTGTTATGCACATTAAACCTATTAGAGGCGGGACCACGCCCACTTTTTAAAAAAAAGTTTTAACTGCAGATGCCCCTCCCTAATGTGATCCTGTGTACCAAATAACAGTCTTGTATCTTATTGCGGAGCTTAGTTATTTGTTTTTGATTAATGGCGTTTTGTGGGCGTGGCAGTGGTCCGATTACGCCCATCTGCAATACCAACCGTCTCACGGTACCAAGAAACATGTCTACCAAGTTTCATAAAGATATCTCAATTTTTACTCGAGTTAGAGCTTGCACGGACGGACGGACGGACAGACAGTCACCCGGATTTCAACTCGTCTCTTCATCCTGATCATTTATATATACATAACCCTATATCTAACTCGATTAGTTTTAGGTGATACAAACAACCGTTAGGTGAACAAAACTATTATACTCTGTAGCAACAGGTTGCGAGAGTATAAAAAGAAAGTATAATATAAATAATTTACAGGCGATCTGAGGTCGGAAGAAGGAGGTGAGGGGCGCGGTTGAATTTTTAAGGGTTAAACACGGATTATCTCGATTTCCGACAAAACTACGAGTCCTATAGAAAAAAGTTGAGCAAAACAGCTGCCCTGAATCGTTTAGTGGTTTCTTTTATTACATTTTCTGAGATATTTACTATAGTAATACATATACTTGTATTTTTTATACCGTCAGAAAGTAGAGATTTCAATAAAAATGAAGCCCACTGACTTAAAATTTAAAAAA